TATATATATATATATATATATATACACACACACACACACACACAATGTAAGCCTATAGTCAAAACTAGTCTTTTTTGTTTTTTTAAAACTTTGCTGTTATTTTGAGGATGGGTCAGTGTAATTAATACAATCCAATTCATCTACCTTTTTATGTAACTCAACCACTTTATACACAAATATGGATGACCTATACGTAACATACTCATATGTCAGGTACCAGTGATTTCATACCACATCTAGCCGACAAACAGGTGTAGTTCAGCTAGTTTCACATGTAATTTACCTTACTGATTCTTGTATGTGATGAACAAGTACGTGTGGTTTCATACCACACCTAGCTGATGAACAGGTGTAGTTCAGTTAGCTTCACCTGTATGAAATATTTTGATGAATAAATGTAAAAACTAGATTATGAATTATTTAATTGAGAATTGATGTTAAAAACATATCAAATTTTGTATATTACAAATAACCTAAATGATATAGTGAGTGTTTTCCCATCTTTAATGCAGCAACTTCTCTTTATAGTTAGCCTTAAAAAGCAAACAAGTAAAATAAACATTTACTGCAACACACATGCTGACTATAAAACTAAATATAACTAGCACTTTAAGACTGTGTAGTACAAAATATAACTTCAAACTTACCATTATCCCAGTTCTCAGTTAACACATGTTGATTTATGGAGTGATATGGCGGAACGCTTGCATTTCCTTTAAATTTGTTATCTTCATCATCTAAAAAAAAATAAACAAAATTTTAAAGAAAAAAAAGTGAGCAAACAAATTTTCTACCTCAATGAACAAGTTGTGAAATCAAATTTCAACTACAATGACATAAAAAATTATATTTGTCTTTTTGCCAAAATCAAATCAAACAAAGAAATATGTCAAGAATTAAGAAAAATTTCACTGGCAATAAATGGAATCTTCAGACTATCTCAGTGGTATTATTAACAGGATTTGGTTTGTTTCCATAAACTATTTACTACTCATGCATTCATACAACCTTCAGTTAACACATTAGTGGCATATTTAGTTTCAAGTATTATCTCTACTTACAGATGCAAGGGTTGTAAAAATAAGCTCACAAACTACATTCAGTGCACTTTCTTATTTTAGGGCAATTTTCTTCGTAATTTCTTTTTAGGCACATTATGCTATCATAGTAAGAGTTAAAAACAAGTATTATTTGGCATAATGAAAGAAAATCTTGATATTATGCTATCACAGGTGCACACACTTTTTTTGTAGCATCATGATTGTAAACTTAAGTTCTTTCAGCATTGTATAAAAATTATCTTATGGATTAACCACAATATAAAACCATAAAATGTGTATAAAAATCGATATAAAAATACAAACAATACTTTTACATTTTAAAATTACCCTAAAAGATTGTACACAAGTATCCATAAACCATTCTTTAATACAAAAGAAATGAAACATATCTGAAACATTTTCTTTTAATTAGCTTGTGATGAGATCTTATGTGAAGATAATGTTCAGTACTCTAAAACTGAAACAGTACACACAATCAATGATTGGCAGTCAGTACTCTAAAACTGAAACAGTACACACAATCAATGATTGGCAGTCAGTACTCTAAAACTGAAACAGTACACACAATCAATGATTGGCAGTCAGTACTCTAAAACTGAAACAGTACACACAATCAATGATTGGCATTCAGT